AGAACCTGAACTGACGTGGACTGTACACGCACTGCATCCTCAGCCATCCGTCCGCGCTACAAACTAGACCCTCACGACCGCCTCCAGGGCGGCAGCGGCTAAGTCAGCAGCAGGTACCCAAAGCTCACGTCTATTTACCACGTTGCTCTTAAAGGCCACATATTAGTCTTCAGAGTGCTACTGACATGGGTTTATCTGCTTATCCACATACTTACTGAGAAGTTCTTTTCAATGGCGCAGAACACAACGTCCACGCAGATGAACACCCCGGTCCGGCCCACTCCCGCGCTGCAGTGGACAATGACGGGCCCTGTGCGGTGGCACTTCCTCACGAAGCGGACGTACTCTATGAAACCCTCCAGTGGGGCAGGAGTGCCATGGTCTGGCCAGTTGGTGAACTGCAAGTGCTTCACCCAGTGAGCGGCTCCAGTCTGTTGAGAAGGGGAAGGGGGTTGGAGAGAGGGAAAGAGAAGGAAGGGGAGAAAGGGAGAAGACAGATTTATCAAGCTCTTATATCTGAGGTCTCATTTCAATTTCTAATATGCTAGTAATGATGATAATATTGGCTATAATAAAAATAAGAATACTAACAGGTAACATAAATTGACCACTTAGTATGTTCCAGGTGCTGGGCTAGGAACTTCACAGGCATTATTTATTTTAATCCTCACATTAACCTTGGTAAGTGGCACTACTTTATCCTCATTTTACAGGTAAAATGTAAGGGACGCATGCTAGGTCGGGAGATGCCCATGAGGTCGGGACATGCATGCAAGGTCGGCAAGGTCAGGAGATGCACGCGAGGTCGGGAGATGCACGCGAGGTAAGGGTGGGCACACGAGGTCAGGTGATGCATGTGAGGTCAGGAGATGCATGTGAGGTAGGGAGATGCATGCGAGGTCAGGAGATGCATGCGAGATCAGGAGATGCACGCGAGGTAGGGAGATGCACGCGAGGTAAGGGTGGGCACACGAGGTCAGGAGATGCATGCGAGGTAGGGAGATGCATGCGAGGTCAGGAGATGCATGCGAGGTCAGGAGATGCATGCGAGGTCAGGAGATGCATGCGAGGTCAGGAGATGCATGCGAGGTCAGGAGATGCATGCGAGGTCAGGTGATGCATGCGAGGTCAGGAGATGCATGCGAGGTCAGGTGATGCATGCGAGGTCAGGAGATGCATGCGAGGTCAGGTGATGCATGCGAGGTCAGGTGATGCATGCGAGGTCAGGAGATGCATGCGAGGTCAGGTGATGCATGCGAGGTCAGGTGATGCATGCGAGGTCAGGAGATGCATGCGAGGTCAGGTGATGCATGCGAGGTCAGGTGATGCATGCGAGGTCAGGAGATGCATGCGAGGTCAGGTGATGCATGCGAGGTCAGGTGATGCACGCGAGGTCAGGAGATGCACGCGAGGTCAGGAGATGCACGCGAGGTCAGGAGATGCACGCGAGGTCAGGAGATGCATGCGAGGTTGGGACATGCATGCGAGATCGGGAGATGCATGTCTAGAGCTGACACTATCCTGTAGGCCTCCTGAATCCAAATCTACTATCTTTCTTCTGCACCATGAGGCTGTAGAAAAAACAAGAATTCAAAAGATGGCCTAACATGTTAGAAACAATATAGAATAGCAATCTATCTTAACTTAAATATTATGATACTAGCTTTAATTAAAACAGGTGGGTGCTATCAAGTTGCCTGACTGGGGGGCACCAGTCTCCTCTGTCAATGAGGACAGGGTGCTTAACAACCCTGTGAGTGGACTGTGGCCACCACTCTAGTGCTGAGCCCCCTGGAAGTGGAGTTAGGTTGACAGATATAACATTGTGAGTTTTCCCATCATCCCATCCAAAGGGACCACCCTTCTCTCAATGTGGAGCCCCAAATTTACTTCACTGGAGACCCTCGAGGAAAAATCAGGATGGGTTTCTCACCCCTCTTGTGCTCCCCCTAGAGCATCATTTTCCCAAGTTCAAAGCAGAAAGCTCAAGTTTGAACCACTGGTGCACAAAACCCAGTGATGAAAACAATACTTGAATATCCTGTGAAGGCATAAAGTTCAGGAGGACTCTCACCCCATCACATTTCAGAGACCAAATCTCTTCTGCTAGTTGATCACTGAGAGGCTGGCAATGGTGGGTCTCACCACTTTCTTGACCTACCCAGAGCCATGAAGACAGAACTGCTGATGCAGATTATCTAAACATGAGCCACATGGTTCTGAGGCTTGTGAGCTCAGCCCAAAGGCCACCGTCCTAAACCCCTTGCTAAGACTCCAAAAGTGGATCCCCGAATCGGAGTCCTTGCAGGCAGGTCATTCATCTGTGCCCCCCACCTGGCCTGTACTCCCCAAGCATGCCGTCCTGACATGGCATGCATCACACACCATTTGGAGCTGGTATGTTTGGAGTCTTCTTTCCACACTAGCCTGTAAATAGTCGAAGAGTTGAGACTGTATCTGCTTTACATCTCTATCATTTGACATGAGACCTGGTTGATCGGAAGGAAGCAACAGGTCTCAGGGGAAGGAGGGGTCAGGCGAGTCCCCATGGAATGAACAGAGAACAGGCGTAGTGTCTAGCACACAGGCAGCAAGCTCTGCACCTATGTCCGCCATTAGTATTCTTGATGTCCCTGCTCCTCACTCTGGGCTCTGACCCTCCTCATACTCCTCAAGTCTGTCTTTTCCCATCCCTCCCTACGCCTCCGTCTCTCCACTTTGCCCTTTGCACTCAGGTCCCCCATCCCACAGGGATTTCTCAGAAACCTGACTAAGCTCCCTAGATGTCTCTCCCATGTCCTTGCCTGGCCTCCCACAGGCACTTCACTCCGCGGCACTGATGGAGGCCACCTGCTCTGTCCTCAGGTGCCACAGAGCAGAGGTGAGGTCACACTGCTTGCTGCCCGTTCCCGCTTCCAGTTCACTGTCCTTTCTACTTGAATAGACCCCTCTTCCTCTTGAGTTTCACACCTCCTACCCTCATCGTCTCATTGTACAGCCCGGGGCGGAACTTCCTGCTTGATCTACTTCCTATATTCGCTGAAGACCCTGACCTTCCCCGCGCCACAGGTTCTGACATCCAGGGCAAATTCAGGGTCTCGACAGCTCAGTAGACATTCTAACCTCACAGCGTTTTTCTTTCTCTCTTGCTGATGAGACCACTCCTTTCTTCTAGTCCTCACAATGATGACCACTCCTTGGACTCACCACCACCTGTGATGTCCAGTAAGAAAAATCTTCTAGTTCCTAAAATCCCCCCCCCACCTTCTGACCACAGATGGTACCACCACCTCACGTGCACATCCAACCACAGCCGGTACCACCACCTCACGTGCACATCCGACCACAGCCGGTACCACCTCACGTGCACATCCGACCACGGCCGGTACCACCACCTCACGTGCACATCCGATCACAGCCGGTACCACCACCTCACGTGCACATCTACTTCACAGCAATGCAGCAGGATGGACTCTCCTGTCCCTGTGTCCTCCATTTACTCCTAGTTGACTGGCCCCTGATTTCACTCATCTCCCTAAATTAAGACTTCATGACTTATTATGTGAATCATTCTCTTACAAACTGTCAACGCCTTTTGTCATTTGAATCTTGCCACATATCCTGGCCAGTCCCATAAACTGTGCTCAGAAATCACACAGTGAGGCTGCTGAGAAGAAGATAATCACGTAGCTGCACATTTTATTTCAATTGCAAATGTATAGATTCCAACCTCCACACCTCCAGGGACCCTTTTCCTGGGCATTTTGCTCCAATCGACTTTTTTAGTAACGACTCCAAACCTCATCCCTTTTCCAGGCTTCCCGTCTGACTCCCAGCCCCTTCCCTTCTGTTGAACACAACTATCATCTAAATGGCTAACCAAATCCATGCAGAGAAATGTAACACATCACTTTCTACCTATGAGTCATTGCCTTCCTATTGTCCAAGTCTACTAGAGCAAGAAGTCTGTAAATTATCCCAGACAACACTCCCCCGTAGAACTTTCTACAATGACACAAACGTTCTATCTGTGCTGCCCGAGATGGTAGCCGCCAACAGCATGTGACTGCTGCAAGTGAGAAATAAATATGTTATGTGTTATGTGAACTTAAATTATTTAAACTTCAATAGCCACGTGTGGCTACCATATTGGACAGCATCATTTTTTAACACTCTTCTGCCATTTGTAAGTCACTAGTCAGAGGTCACATCTAAGTCTACCCATTTTATCTAAAAAACACTTGAAGTCACCCTGGTCAGTTTGGCTTAGCAGTCAGAGTGTCAGCCCGTGGACCAAAGGATCACGAGTTTGATTCCCAGTCGAGGGCAGGTACCTGGGTTGCAGGTTTGATCCCTGACCCTGTCCCTGCTTATTTTCTGTAGCCTCATCTCATCTCTCATTGCTCTATGGCATTGCAATTTCACATTCCAGAAACACTTAAGTACTTATATTTCTTTATACATACCCCATGCTATTTTACATCTTGATCATCTACTTCCCCTTTCCATCTTTCTCACTGGGTAATTCTCAATTCAGAATACACCACCTCCAGCAAACCTTCCCAAACCCCAAGCAATGCTAAGTAGTTCCCTTCCAAACCCTCCACACAGACCTCACTGTGATCCATGAGCACAGCAACGGAAGCATCAGTGAGCATACTAAACTCTCCACTGCTCAGTACGTAGGCCAGTGCCTGGCAGTGGCCAGCACACCGCAAGGAATCGATACATCGTGTCACACTCGGCAGAAGCAGCCCAAGGACATCCCAGGATTAGGCAACTTGCAGCACTTGCTCTCCTCGCCCCACCTTCCTCCTCCCTCTCCAACCAGCTTGATGAAGCCCAAGCAGGAGTGTGGTGTCCCAGGTTCTGGTACCTGGGGGAAGTGAAACTAGGTGATTTTAAAACTTTCCTAGCCTGTACCTTATCCTAACTTCTCATCTGGACATGCATGCTTATCCAATGAAATAGTCATCTGATACTGATTTTTAAAAACTTACAGACTTCGTCACAACTCGAAGTACTCGAACAATGAAATGTTGAAGTATCTGGTAGTTCTCCAGGAAGATACGACAGCTTTTCAGTTCCAAAGGCTTCTTCAAAGACATGGGCCAGTAATGATGGCATTTGACAGTCCCACCTTCGCTCTCTCTGGTTATCATGATAATGACATTAGAGTTATTTTCCAAAACCATTTGCCAAAAGTCATCTGTGGTGCCTGGCAGTGGCCCTTGGGTAGCGATATAAAAATATTCTTCTCCAGAATTGATCACTCTAATATAACTGGCATTAATGTAGTCATTGTTTTCTCCAAGAGGAACACGTGTTGAATCATCTATTACAAAAACAGAAACATCTGGTAGATAAGGAAAAGCAGGAGACATAATACATCCAGACTTCCTGAAAGCATTCCATACAGATAAATCCTCTGAATTCTTTGACTAATAGAGAAGATGGCATAGGAGTTTCTATGAAAAAGAGTTATTTGAGTCCATGAATTTAAATTTTCCCCTCCCCCAAACGTACTGGCATGATCTAAGAAACATACAAGTAGGAGATTTTTTATTTTAAATCAGTTTCTACTGAACAGAGAAGGATGCTATCAGTCTCCAGACACTTTGGGAGATCTCTGTCTAACATGGCACAGGGAGAATTGGGTCAAAGGAGGAACCTACGAGGATGCCACTGTTCACAGCCGAGGAGGAGCCCTTCGAGGAGAAAACGAAAAGCATTCTCCTACAAACATGGGAAACCTGCAGGCCCGAAGCAGCAAAGCTGGGGAGAACCAGCAACAGCTGAGAACTGAGACAGCTGATCAAATACAAACACTAGCATCCAGAGAATGCTGTGAATGCCACACATGCAAGGCAGCCATCTGTATGCCAATCCTCAGCTTCACCTGGGGAAGTGGACACTAATCAAAGCAGATATGAGAAACAGATGTTATGAAGGGCATTTGCTACAAGCAACATGGGACTCATCTAACATGAAGTATTACCACAAATATGAGAAGGGAAAACCAGTTACTTGACTCACTAATAAACTCCACTGGCCCAGGTGCCCTTTCGTCACTTTACAGTGACATCTGGAGCTCTGGCTCTACCACTCTTCCCACAGACAGAATAAACGAGTATCTCGGCCGAAGAGGGGCCTGCCCTGCCATGCAGCCTCGCACCAACAGCCGGTCCCTGCTCCTCCACACCCTGGCACCGCTCACTAGCAGATAAGCTATGACCGAGATAACTGAAAACAGGCTCCAACAGCAAACATAAACCAGTCCTTCTAAATATGAGTAAGTAGGAAAAAACAAACACTAGACCTATAAAAAATATACAGTACTTCAAAAAAGAAGACCATTCTGAGAAATCACAGAAAATGTATTTCTTTTTATAAGAGGAAGGAATGCTTTAAAAACTCCTATTTGTATTATATATATAAAGACCTTATACAAAGTAACTGAGACTAATAGCCTCCATGCAAAAACTAGATAACTGAACCTTTCCTGGGCTTACAAATCTACCTAGGAAAGTCAGAATTCACAGTGGTGTTTAACATAGGTCCTCCCACACTCATCCAAACCCAGGAGAGGGAGCCACAACCAGCAGAACACCAACCCCCACAGGGAAAATTTGTCAGGCTCCAAAGCCCACTGAGATAGCCAAACTGGTGAAACAAAGAAACGAATCCCAAATGAAAGAACAAGAGAACTCTACTGAAGAAGAGATAAATAAAAAGCACTTAAGCAAGTTATCAGAGGTACAGTTCAGAGTGATAATAATAAGGAAGCTCAACAGCATGAGTAAAGATATAGAAACATTGAAAATTAACCAACTGGAAATGAAAAACCACCAACTGGAAATGAAGAATGACACAGCAGAAGTAAAGAACACATTGGAAGGAATAACCAGCAGAGTAGAGGAGGCTGAGGACCGGATCAGTGAATTAGAAGATGGGGCAGAAAAAACTCACCCAATCACAGAACAAAAGAGAAAAAAAACAAATTAAAAAACAGGAAGACAGTTTAAGAGAATTGTGGGACAATATAAATACAACAACATCCACATCACAAGAGTTCCAGAAGAAGAAGAAAATGAGCAAGGGTTAGAGAATATATTTGAAGAAATAGTGACAGAAAACTTGCCTAACTTGATGAAGAAAAAAAGCACACAAATACAAGAAGCACAGAGAGCCCCAAGTAAGAAGAATCCAAACAGGCCCACACCAAGACACATAATAATTAAAATGCCCAAAATTAAAGACAAAGAGAAAATTCTAAAGGCAGCAAGAGATAAATAATAGGTAACCTACAAAGGAACCCCATAAGGCTCTCAGCTGACTTCTCAACAGAAACACTAGAGACCAGAAGGGAGTGGCATGAAGTAATGAAGGTCATGAAAAACAAGGATCTGAACCCAAGACTACTCTATCCAGCAAAGCTATCATTCAAAATAGAAGGTGGAATAAAGAGCTTCCCAGACAAAAAAAAAAAGAATAAGGGAACGTATTAGCACCAAACCAGCACTGCAAGAAAAGTTAAAAGGACTACTGTGATTAGTATAAAAAATAGGAAGAAAAAAATATAACCACAATAAACAAAACTGGCAGTAAATAAGTATACATCAATAATAACCTTAAATGTAAATGGATTAAATGCTCCAATCAAAAGACACAGAGTAGCTGATTGGATATGAAAGCATGACTCACATATATGTTCTTTACAAGAGACCCACCTCACAACAAAAGGCTCACATAGGTTGAAAGTGAAGGGATAGGAAAATATCTTCCAAGAAAACAAAAAGAAAAAAATAGCTAAGGGTATCAATACTCACATCCAATAAAATAGACTTCAAAATGAAGGCCATAACTAGAGACAAAGAAGGCCCCTACATAATGTTGAAACAATCTATTCAACAGGGAGATATAACATTGGTAAACATATATGCATCCCACACAGGAGCTCCAAAATATATTTGAAACTTCTGGAGGACTTCAGAGAAGAAATCAATAGCAATACAAACATAGCAGGGGACTTCAAAATGAAAAGGGAACCCACTATATGGGAGAGCATTATTGCCAACAATACAGCAGACAAGGGGTTAATTTCCAAAATACACAGAGCACTCATACAACTCAACAAAAGGAAGACAAAGAACCCAATTAAAAAAATGGGCAGAGGCCCTGGCCAGTTTGGCTCAGCAGTTAGAGTGTCAGCCTGCAGTCCAGAGAGACCCGGGTTCAGTTCCTGCTAAGGGCATGTACCTCGGTTGCAGTTTGTCCCTGGCCCTGGTAGGTCGTGCGGGTGGCAGCCACTCGATGTGTCCCTTTCACATCAATGTTTCTCCCTCTCTCTCTATTCCTCTCTCTCCCTCCCACTCTATCTGAACAAAAAATGGAAAAATGCCCTCGGGTGAGGGCAAAAAAATGGGCAGAGGAACTAAATAGACACCTCTCCAAACAGGACATACAAATGGCTAAGAGACATAAAAAAATTCTCAATGTCACTAATCATCAGAGAGATGCAAATTAAAATGACTATGAGGTATCACCTCATGTCAGAATGGCCGCCATCAACAAATCATCAAACAACAAGTGTTGGCGAGGGTGTGGAGAAAAGGGGACTCTAGCACACTGCTGGTGGGAATGCAGACTAGTGCAGCCACTATGGAAAACAATATGGTATTTCCTCAAAAAAATTAAAATTGAACTGCCATTTGACCCAGTGATCCCGCTTCTAGGAATATACCCTAAGAAGCCTGAAACACCAATCAGAAAGAATATATGTACCCCCATGTTCGTAGCAGCACTATTTACAATAGCTAAGATCTGGAAACAGCCCAAGTGCCCATCAATAGATGAGTGGATTAAAAAAGCTGTGGTACATATACACGGTGGAATACTATACAGCCATAAAAAAGGGAATTCTTACCTTTTGCAACAGCATGGATGGAACTAGAGAGTATTATGCTAAGTGAAATAAGCCAGTCAGAGAAAGACACATACCATAGGATCTCACGTATATGTAGAATCTAATGAACAAAATAAACTGGCAAACAAAATAGAAACAGAAGCTGGACACATGGAACAGACTGACAGTTGTCAGAGGTGAGGAGAGTTGGAGGACTGTATGTCCGAAGGTGAAGGGATTAAGTAAAAACACACACACACAAATATATACACTCACACACACACGCCCAGACACAGACAGCAGTGTGCTGACAGCCAGAGGGAAAGTGAGTGGGGCAGACGGAAGCGAAGGGCAGAAGTCGGGGAATGTGGGCGAAGAGAGACTTTTCGTGGGGCAGTGGGCACACAATACCGTGTGTGGATGATGTTTTACTGAGCTGTACACTTGAAACCTGAATGGTTTTGTGAACCAATTTCGCCTCAATAAACTCAATTAAAAAGTAAAAAGAAAACTATTTGTATTTTAAATGGAATCCAAGAGAATATTATCTTATAAAAGAACAATATATATATGCTCAATAACACAAATATGCTACATTATTAAATTATAAAAGGGGTAATAAGAGCATTATAATGAAATCTTTCATCATATATGCATATGTATACACACATATATATACATCATATATAAACATAACAAACAAAAAACCTGGCAAGTATTCATCAAAATGCTAGCAGTGGCTATTTTATTATCTAACTTTTTATAGAAAATATTTACTACTTTATGATAGAAAAGCATTTTAATTTTCAAGAGAGATGAAATCTGCAAACATTAAATAATCCAAAATAATAAAAGTTTGCTTCCAGATAGAAACCACAATTACTCAGTGGGTGATGTCACATCATGGTGGAGAGAGAAGATCCCGTTGTTTCTCTTCTTAAAATGACAAGTTAGACAGTTATAACCCAACAGGATCCGGGCTCAACACACAGAGATACTAAAAGATGCAGCAGGCAGAGGGGCTGAAGGAGCAGGAGAGGTGGGCGGGAAGGAATGGAGGTTGCTGAGGGGCAGGTCAGTGCCCTGAGGCTGCAGGGAGGGCCCACCTTGGAGGAATGTGACTACAGTTCTCATGGGAGAGCCTGCAGTGTGAGAGGGACAGAAGCAGTGGTCTCCCCACAAAAGGCAGCATTGCTCCCCTCTCCCCATTGCAGCAGACCCCCAGGAGAGGTGGCTGGGAACCCTAAAACAACAGAGCACCCCTGACAGCTGTTAGGAAAGAGGCAGAGC